ATAGTTTTCTCATATCCACACAGGTAACGGACCAATGAGATTCAAGTAATGAGAGAAAAGAATTAAAATTGTAATGCTTCGAACGTCAACTAATCAGCTGATCAGCTGATCAGTTGACCAATTTAATTGTTGATCCCACTTGTTCATGTTGATACTCGCGTATTCTTAATTAAGTTGGTGGAAGTCCAAAAATAAATGAAATATTTGCCGAATTGTACCTGATACAATATTATTTATGGTAAGAATGCTGCTAGCAATGTAATATTTAACGAAGTTTAACAAACACGTAATTACAGGAAATCAGCTGATTATACAACAAGTCGTTGCATCACTTTCAGTGGCAATGACAATACACGAAAACATAACCTCTCTAAAAAGTTATCATTAGTGATTGTTAGTAATTAAATCCAGATTGATAGTAATTAAAAAAACTGCCGTAGGTAAAGTAGTGTACGCAACTCGCGTTAATAGTCTTTACGACACTCGTAGAAGTTTTTAAGGCACTCGCCAAGGCTCGTGCCTTAAATTTTCTACTCGTGTCGTAAAGACTCACTTAACGCAATCGTTGCGTAAACTACTATTTCAAAATTTGCCTGAAAGGGAATAAATCACATGACCGCGCATGCGCAGAATGTTCTGCCCGGCATCGACTTGCCTCGGGGCATAATTTTGGAGAGCTTCACATTTTGCCCTGCGGGCGCCCAGGGGCTTCTTTTTGACGTGCCCTGCCTCGCCCGGTCCTGTGTGTGGCGCTCCATAAGAGCCTGTGCAATTCCCGTCACACAAGACGCCCCGGGGCATAATGCCCTGTCGCGCCCCGCCCCGCCCGGTTCTGTGTGTGGCCGGCCTTAGAGTCGTCTGTTGACGGAAATTGTTTAAGGAGAAAAGTAGGTACATTCAAATTGATTTAGGAAAGAGAAACAATAGTGCGTGTTCATCCATAGTATTGAAATCACAAGATATTTTCTAGATCTCTTTTAGTTCAAAATACAAAGTTTGATAATATTGTATAACCTAATCTACAAAATAGTCTTGAAAGTTTTGTAATATTGAGTTAGGAAAAACAGAAACACTTTGCATAGCGTAAAATTGCAGAATAGAGTAGTGTTCTCTTTAAAGTAATAATTATGACACTAAGGCATACAACACAACAAGTTAAACTAGTACCGTAATTGTATTGTTTGAGGTTGAGAAGTGCCGTATTTTAAGTTTTACTTATATGAGTGACTTGTTTTAATTATGTTTTAGTTAAGTAATTTTGACTAAGTAATATTTTTCTTGTGTTTCTAGACAGCTGTACATGCAGCAATAATGTTAAACATTATTAGTAAACTAATAGCACATTTAATTATAGAGAGTATTTAGAGCATTCTTACGATGTACTCGTACTAAGTTAAACGAAATACATACAAAAACCAATTTCGTAGACCCGAGTAAATGTTACAGAAAACACGTTATTAAACGAAATTGTGTTTGACATGTGACTAAGTTGGTGCCTAATTGGTTGGTGAAAGACTAAACTTTCGCTGATTGCTTTGTACCGATGGTAGTTAGTATAATTTGAAATTAACAAAACAAAATCATATTATTTAACCATTGGCTAGATTAAGATTAAGAAAGAGTGTCCAGCAGTTTAAAAGATTTAGTTTTTAGGGTTGGTAGTGGTGATTGATAACCCATTTCAAGTTTTGTCAGTTAAGTTCACTGGAAATATGGTCTACAAATATGTGGTTGGTGTAGAAATTGTAAGTAGCTTTTAATATTGTTTAGTAATAAGATTTTAGGAGATTTATTGTATATAGCATTTGTAGAAATCATTTTTGGGAAAAGATGTAAAGTAAAGAAAAGTTTTCAAATCAATTTTAATGCATTTTACAAGAAAAGAAAACAAGTAAAGTTTATACAGACCTGTTGAGTTTTGTTCTAGGAGAAGCACATTTTCACAAGGAGTTGTAAGGATCTTAAATCCACTTTTAATTATTAGAATTTATAGAGAATAGTTTTTATTGGGTTTGTGTGATGTTTTCAGACAGAAATCAACCACTTCTTGGTACTACCACTTCTTGTTCACCTTCTTATGATTGGTCCAGTAGCTTTTGCACCACTTCTAGTTGCTTTGCATGGTATCTGCTAGTGCCAGTTCTGACCATTAAACCAGTGTCTCTGATTAAAGTAAGATCTTTCCACTATTTTATTATTTAGTACAAGATTTGGGAGTAATAAGACCATAATGGATTTTATTTGGAAAGTGTATTTGGTGTAATTTGAGAACCGTAAAATATACATGTATTTGGCCTACCTTGTCTTTTAATTTATCTCACTTCTACTACCAGCTTGAATTAGATTCATCCTAAATTGAAGTATACTACCTAATTGGCTACATGGTAGGGGTATAGCTTCCAATTTTGTAATCCCAAGCAAAGGTTGCTAGGGTAATGTTGGAACTGTTATATTTCGGTATGATTATCTTTATATTATAACATAAAAAAAACAGAGGTTATAAAAATAGATTTTGGTTTGAAAGCAATCCTAATCTGTGCAAAACATCTAGAATATAAATGAAAATATTCCGAATAGGGGTTCTATTTACTTTAAAACTTGAAAACGCAAATAGTTGACACACCAAGGTTTACAAGCCTCTATGAAAGCTTACCTTTAAGATTAACGACTTAGGACAAAAGTCCTATTAATAAATAAGCATAAATAACACAATGTTACTTTGGAATTGTCAAAATAGACACCTTTAATTATCGCAAGAGATACAACGTAGGAAAACTTTCGGATCGGAAGTGATCTTTAATGTGTACTGAAACAAATCCAGGTGCATTTGATCGGTGAGGCAGATGCTCAACATTTAGAGACAATTATGTTCACACGACGTTAGCACATTGAGTAAACGACGTTTTTGAATGCCTTATTATGAATTTATATTATTTTTCAATAAAAAATGCACATTGTTACTTTTTATAGGTATGCATTTCTATAAGAAACCCCCAACTAACATAAAATACGGTACGTCAGATTAGGTATCACAATAATTAAAAAAGAAAATGTTAGTTATAGATCTTGTAAAATGTTAACTAACTGTTTTCAGTAGTTTATATTTATGTCTGAATTTCTGACGACACTCTGCAACACCAGAAACAAAGGTTTTGGCTTTAGAATGAACCTTAAGATCGAACACAGCATTCACCTACGTATAAAACATAATAAATTATGAGTTCTATTATTATTTGTAAGCAGTTTAATGTTGACTAGCCCATACACGTATTTTAGTGGCTGCAAATGTTTGTACTATTACTAATTAAAGGAAACATAACTAATTACATTGTTTCAAATATCCCCTTTCTTTTTAGTTTATTGTCTTTTTCTGTATGCAAAACTATTTGACCCCACAGTATCATACACTTTTATCATCAATCCTTAATATAATTGTATACTGCAGTACAAATACTGCTGCAATTTCATTTTGCTTGACCTGTACCATTATGTTTGTACCATAAATAATCCCGAAAGTCACTACTACCACTATAATAGGATTTACTAATTGTTCGACAGCTATCCAGTATTGATTATCCCCAACTTACAAAGGCAACTCACAGTAGTTGAGGGCAGAGTTTCAATTGTTGGGCAATTTTACTTGATCTAGCAACCCAGCAGTTACTGTTAGTTTAAGGATCCATTCAAAGTTCAGAAACTACTCTTAACCAACAGTATACTCTAGATCAGGTGGGCAATTGGTTTTGACCTGCTATTATTAAACTTAGACAAGTCCAAACTACAAATATTATTGCCATTCTACTTGATACCATAACATTCTTCTTATGGTATCAAGTATGGTATCAAGTTGTGGTATCAAAAACAGTTAAAATAATGAAAGAGCTACTCTGTATTAAAATTGTAATGCAGTAATGTAATTTGCAAATTTTTGTAATGTTATATAAACAAAATACAGGGTTTTCATAAAAAAAATAGTGGGGTTTATTTAGGAAATAAAAAAAACAAGTAAAGATACAAAAACACTAGTTATTTTTTCCTTCTTGACATCAATAAAATTGAATACATAGCAAATGAAATTTTACCAGTTCTCGTCCTCCGATCCACTGTGTGTGTTAAACGCCTATTCTTCCTCTACACCCGTCACCTCCATCACCATCTGTTCTTTCTTGCTCTATTTCTTCTTCCTTTATCAATACCAGGGCTCGTGCTCGGAGCTTACCCATTCTGAAGTAAAAACCATAGGCATTGGGTAGTCTACCCATACTTTGATAAAATTGATACAGTTGATACATCCATTGACAAACCAAACCGATGCTGACGCCCACCAAAAAACAAAAAATATCTCCTATCATTTCAAACAATTTTGTTGCGAATTTGTTCTTCTGATTTAAACATTGAATTTGTTTAACTACCACGGGAACCTGTGCGTTGTTTTCCATAGTAACAGTTAAGATTTACAAAAATAAAATTTGCTTTGAATAAGACATAGAACAGTTAGACAGAATCTCGGGCCCTTCGGTGTAAGAGTTTCTAAATTCTAAAACCTAAATGCAAAACTACGAATTGAGAGGAATTATTTGACAATTCAAACGTTAAAATTGGTTTAAAAATAATGGAATCACAAAAAAAAAAAACAGCCCTCACGTATTAATATAAAAGATATTATTATTCTAGTTGTGAAAAATGGGAGGGCTGTATTTGGGGCAGGAACATGTATTTTTGGAATTAAATATTCTCGTGTGTAAGATGACTGATTAGACATCTATCTTGCTATCAACCAATATTTTTCAAAATATTAATGTTTTAAATGAAACTAATAGACTTATTTGAATATAATATTCTAATAAAAATTTTCAGTCTAGCTCCGTCCGCCGAGCTGATAAGACGCTCCGAGTACATCGCTCTCGCCTGCTACACGCGTGTTCCTGCTCGTACCGCCACACGTGACATACGTTGTTTGCAGTTGTGTTAATGATTATATCATACATTAGCATTTAAAAATGACGTCTGACTGTGGCATCTGCGGTAAATCGTGTGATGGTGATGAGGAACAGAAAGTGAAGTGCGCTGGAAGTTGCGAGAAGTTTTTTCATGCTCGCTGCATCCAAGACGACGTCGTTGGCACTAAGACGCGTTCGTTTAGAGACTGGAAGTGTAAACAGTGTCGAGAGGTCGTCACTACTACCAATGAGCTTCTCAAGGTTTTACAAGAGTTTAAAGCTCAAATGTTTGATGAACTAAAAACTACTAGAAATGAGATCACCGATTTAACAGACGCTATGCAGTTTATGTCAAACAAGATGGATGAATCTACGAACTTAATGAAAAATATAAAAGAAGAACTTGCATCGATGAAGAAAGAAAATGAACACCTTCGCAGTGACAATGCCGCCCTGAACAAAGAGGTAACCTCCCTCAAGAGCAAGGTCCGTGCACTCGAGCAATACTCCAGGAAGAACAACGTGGAAGTCAGCGGAATCCCTGAAACACCAAATGAGGACGTCATGAGCTTGGTGAAGGACGTCGGCACTGCCCTAGGAGTGGAGATCCAGGAGGGTGACATTTCGGTGGCTCATCGAGTTCCATCCTACAAGAAGGATCGTCCGCCGCCTCTCATCATCCAGTTCTCCAGGAGGGTAACCCGAGACACTTTGCTGCATGAGTTTAGGGATAGGAAGAAGTTAAATGCTCGTCAGATAAATCCAGCCTTTCCAGAAAAATCCGTGTACGTGAACGAACATTTGGCTCCTGAAAACAAGTTGTTCTTGAAGGATATGAAGACGAAGTGTAAGGACATTGGCTACCAGTATGCTTGGTGTAGGGATGGAAAGTTCTTTGTCCGTAAGTGTGAGAATGATCGGTGCATCAGGATCGAGTCATGCGAGGATCTAAACAATCTCAAGTAAGCATGCAAGTAATTTATAACTGTTGTCATTCCTTTAATTCCTTGTTATATATTTTTTACAGAGAGCTTTATTTTAATGTTGCATTGTTAATAATTATTGTTAAGTTTCATAGATATTTCTTCATTTTTAAATCAGTATTACTAAAGATCATATTTATTTATCTATTATATTTATTCATATTAATACTAGTCATTTTAATTTCAAAGCAAGATTCTAGTTTACTGTTCCATGTTAAAAGTTGTTAAGTTTGATGGATATTTATTTATTGTTAAATCTGTATTACAAAAGATTTTATTTACAAATTTATTTATTATTTATTTATTATCTATTTATTAATATTATTAATAGTTTTTGCAAAGAATATGAATACCTAATATGAATCAGAATTTGAATGAAGAGTTAATAATGACTCAGTCTGAGTTACAAGTGTTTTTTGATCATGCAAATAATATTAATAACTATAACTTAATCTATGCTAATATCAGAAGTATGAGAAAAAATTTTAATTCTTTTGTTGCTGAAATAAGTAGTTTGAAACAAAAAATTCACTTGATTGTCCTCAGTGAAATTTGGATTGGTAGCGATGAGATAAATTTATATGCAATACCTGGTTACAATCTTTTCGCTAACTGCAACAATACTTACAGAGCAGGTGGTGTTTTATGTTTTGTTGATAACTCGATAGATTGTAAACAAATCACGTTATCTTGTAATATGTTATCAGCTGATGTTCTCGTACTAGATGTTAAATTGAACAAATCATATTTTAAGCTAGTCTGTTTATATAGATTACAACACGTGCATGAGAACTCTTTTTTGCTTGAACTTTCTGAACTTGTTTCTGAATTAAAAAATAACGTTATATTTATTGGAGATATAAATATTAACCTACTGGAGGAAAATGCAGTAACTCATGCTTACAATAGTACGTTAAATAATAATGGTTTTATATCTTTAATAAGCAAGCCAACCAGGATAACATTGAATTCGAAGACGCTCATTGACCATATATTTGTTAGAAATAGATTTATAAATGATTTTATATGTGATGTTTTTGATCTAGGTATAACTGATCACTGTGTTTTAGGATTAAAGTTTAATAGATGTTCAGACAGAATTAATGATAGGCCTAATTGTCATGATAAAATACCAAGTAGGATCACAATAGACTATGATGTGGTTAAAAATAAAATACAAAGCATGGATTGGAAAGAGGTTTATGCCGAAAATGATGTAAATAAATGTTACGATAAGTTCCATGAAATCTTAACTAGTGTCATAAATGATAGTAATAGAATAGTTAATGTAGATTGTAAACTAAGGAAAGCCAAGTTATTGAGTCCTTGGATTACATTAAAGCTTCTAAGAAAAATAAATAAACGGAAAAAACTTTACAAAATTTCTAAAAAAAAGGCCTTACGACATGGGATTTATAAATTATTTTAACAGGTTCTCTGCAAATTTAAAATTTGAAATCGATTTTGTAAAAAATGAATACTATTCAAAAAAATTAGAAAACTGTAAAGGTGATGTTTCCCAACAATGGAAAATAATAAATAATTTAACTGGGGGCAGCAAAGTAAAATGCATTGACCGGATTGAACTTGATGATGGGAAAACGATAACGGAACCTCAATCCATTGCTCAAGAAATCAACAGACATCTTATCTCTGTACAGTCAGGTCAACAAGGTACAATCCCTACCGAACCACTTCCTACTCATGTCTACAATGATTCCTTCTTCATAGTTCCTACCACAGTTGATGAAGTAAAGACAGTTGTCTATAGTTTGAAAAACAAAAAATCCACAGGTTTTGACCAGATTAATGTGAGTTTATTGAAACATATAATTGATGACATTGCGCCCGTTTTGGTCCACATAATAAATAATAGTTTTGTTAAAGGTGTTTTCCCAGAAAGTTTAAAGCTAAGTTCAGTTGTTCCTATATTGAAAAAACCAAATTCATTACGATTAGATAACCTCAGACCAATTAGCCTTCTTTCTGTTTTTTCTAAATTGATTGAAAAATTAATGTTATTAAGATTGACAAATTTTCTGAACAAATTACATTTTTTTAGCCATAAGCAGTTTGGATTTATAAAAGGCAGATCAACGGAAAGTGCATTATTAACTGTGACAGAGTTAATATTTAATGGCTTTAATTCAAATAAAAAAACCACAGGTCTCTTCATAGATTTCAAAAAAGCGTTTGACATGGTCAACCATGAGATTCTTATCAATAAGCTAGAGGCTGCAGGAATTAGAGGCATAGCTTTAAATTGGTTTCGTAGTTTTATTACAGGAAGAAAGCAGCAAGTTAAAATCAACAACAACATTAGCGATTCACTCATTGTTCAGACGGGTGTTCCCCAAGGGTCAACGACCTCTGCAACCCTGTTCCTAATATTCATTAACGATCTTCTTGAACTTGATTTTAAAGGAAATATAAATGCTTTTGCAGACGACATTGCTCTTTTTTACACTCAAAATGATACTGTTCTCCTTTCAGATTCAATCAACTACGATCTTTTATTACTCAGAAAATGGTGATCCATAAACAAAATGCAAGTAAATGTTAGTAAGACAAAATATGTTAATTTTGACTTCTTTGGTTTTGACACCCCTTCTCCTTTAATTTTTCATTCCCCTACCTGCAATATCCACTTATGTACCTACCAACCATTAGAAAAAGTTAAATCGATTAAATACTTGGGAGTTTTGCTTGATGAAAAACTAACTTTTGAACACCATATTTTAGAACTACACTCAAAATTAAGATCACAAATTAGAAAATTCTATTTTCTACGAAATTTTTGTAACACTTCACTTTTACGAACACTTTATTTTGCATTGATAAATTCAAGATTACAATATGCCTTGCCTTGCTGGGGAGGTACTTACAAAACATTATTAGAGAAGATTAGAACAACTCAAAATTTTTTCTTGCGAATAATTCTCAAAAAACCTAAACGAACTAGCTCTTTTCCATTATACCAACAGTTATGCATTCTACCAGTTCAACATCTTTTTATTTTTAAAGTCCTGAGATTGTTCTTCATCCGGAGCGGAAACAGAGAAAATATAATTCCAAATCATCCTTACAGTACAAGAAGTTTTGCAAATAAATCTATCAAATTACCCAAAGTAAACAAAACTTTTTTCAGACATTCATTTCAATACTTGGGTCCAAAATTTTACAATCAGCTTCCGCTTCATATTAAAAATACAACAAATTTCAAACACTTTTTTAAAAGAACAATCACTTGGCTTAGTTCTCAACAGGATGTAGGTTATCTTGCCAACTCTTTGGTATAAGATTGTGTTACTGTTACCTTATTTTATGTGTATTTTGTTAACACTTTCTTAGTCTAAGTTTTGCCCAGATGTTACAGCAGGCGGATAAAATATTTGTCATCTGATGCTAGGCTCAACAATTTATTATTTATTATGTATGATTAACCTTTTAACTGGCCACACTACTTGAAAAAGTGACCAGTTTACATTTCTTATAAAGTCCATAGGATAAATTTTGTATCTAAAAGTGTTAGCGTATGTGTAAATATTTTATCAACAGATGTAAAGATCAAAATGTTCCTATTTCGTTTCCTCTTCCCGTTGCAAAGCACGGGTACAACAGTTAGTGTTTTTTTATAAATTTTGTTGAAAATAATTGTCTAAGATCGTCTGAACACTGTTAAAAGTGATACCAAGATAATAATGATGGATAAAACGTCATCTAACTTATCCTTCCTCACTTTGACATTTTCAAGCTCTTAGCTTTTCACCACTTAACGTACAGTCTAGCGACAAACTCTGTCCGGGTATAGTCACCACTTTGCTGTAATAGACACTTTTTTACTTTTCTTCCTTTTGTAAACACGTTTTTGTTAAACTTTTGTACATCATGATCGTTTTATTGTACAAAAGCATTTCTACCTCATCAAACAGTATATGACAGTATTTAAAATTGTAGGCTTTTAAACGGTTATACTTTTTAACGCGTAATTTTTGAAGAGTTTTAAAGTCAAATAATTCAATATAGATCTGATTAAAGTGTACTTAAGAGCCTTAAACCTCTAACAATAATTAATACTCTTTTCACACCCATTTTTCATCGTAATTATGGTAAAATGAAATTGTTAACTGTTTGGAAACTAAAATATTTAATTTTACGAGTCACTGTAATAAGATGACTAATTGTAGTTCAACTTATTTTATGACACACCACGTAAAGACTACATGGTAATCTCTTGGATTCGATGTCCACCATATACTAACAGTTAAGAGTAATACGCGCTCTTTTTATTTACATAAACATTAAGCTTACTTAATCTCAAGTCAATCGATCAATAGGTTTGTTATTAATTGGTATATCAATTGTTATATCGTAGTAATTAGTTTCGTATAGTGTGCTACATTCACCAAAAACCTAAAATTTGTAATAATTATTCATACATGATTTCTAATAAAAATTTTAAATAAAATAAGTCGTAAATATTATACCCATTTTACAGTAAATAAAATAGTCAAGTTTCAAGAGATGCATATTAACTTAATATTTAAGGTAGACAAATTTAAAACATTGGCTCTTACTGAAAGCCATTTTCTATAACAGAAGTAGGCTAGTTTAGTCCGACGAGCTATCGCTAGAAATTTTAGAAGTTACGGTTTTTTATTTTCACTATAGGTGCAACAAACTTAAGTTCGCCTCCAGAGCACCAAACATCATCGTGGGAATTATTATACCATTACATTTGCACCCCTTTATCGAATTTAATATTCTATAATAAACATAGTACTGTGTATTGTTTTTATTTAAATTGGGCAAATTGGTAAGTTTGTGATTTACTAACAAATTTTTATCAGATAATTCATTAATTACGTTATAAGTAGGTTTTTAGTCCACCTAATAGAATCAATTTACTGTTAACAAAGGAGTTAGTTTTATTTATACATAGCTGAATAATATGGCTTAAACTTTTATAATAATAACAATAAC